AACCACTTCTTTAGAAGAATGCATCCGCAATTAAACAATAAAAATTAACCAACAAATAAATTGAATTTCCAAGGACAAAGATGCATTTGTGTATGTGCATACTGTCTTATGTGAAGAGATCACTTCAAGAAACTACGGCCATCCAGTCTCTGCCCCTTTCCACACTCTCAGTTCCCAGGCAGAGCAGAAACTCCAAAGTGTCTCATAAGAATCCCACTTGAAATGCAGTACTACGCCACATCCCCTTGCACAGCATCCTGACCAGATGTAGCAAGGCCTCATGCTCCGTGGGAGCAAAAGAAAGCGTGACAGGAAGAAGGAGCCATATACTCACCATCAACGATGGAACAGCCAGAGACAAGGCTAACACTAAGGCCCCCGGTACCCTGCAGTGCCCCCATATAAAGCGAGCAGGGGATGCTGGGAGAGGATTCCTTTAAAGGTGGATGGGCTGGGTATGGCAGGCTTGCAATTTTTCTTCTGACTTCTCATTTCAAAGGAAATCTAACGCAAAAGCATTCTGAACGTTATTTATTTGAGCTATGACCATCTTTTTCACATCATTTCAGTGACAAAACAGCCACCCAGAATCCTTCTGGGCACTACTTGCCCATTAGATCACAAGGTTCGCGCCCTTAAGCGGGGATTAAACAATGCTGCAGTAGGTTTCAGCTGCATTGTTCATGGGAATCAAGAATGTGTGGAAGTGTTTGCAAAGCGACTCCTTAGAGCATTTGACTGATGGTACCAATGCCTGAGCTTTAATATGCCAACCCACGCCTGCAGCCAGCTCCAGCTCATTGTCATTTTTGAAAGCAAACAAACAGTAGAACCAGTGCTGTGAGTCTGAGGTTCCTGTGCCAACCTTCTCCAAAGCAGAGAAGGGGCACAGCAGCCAGCTCTCCCTGAGAGGTACCGATCTCACCCGAGGGGCTGCTGCACACAGGGTTCAGTGGTGCCAAGCGGCTGCCTGGGGCGCAGCTCTCAAGGACGGCAGAGGCTGCTTGCTGTGGGATCACCAGAGCCGCTTCTGTGTAACAGGAGCCCACGGGCAGCTCCCGCTGCCTGCACCACCTGCCTGGCCTTGCCCTCATTGTGCAGCACGGCAAGGTGCTCTTATGAGAGCAGCCTCCAGGAGCAGAGATGTTTTCTTGTAAGGAAATCGCACAATAGTTCAAGTGGCCAAAAGACAGAGCTTCTCTCCTCAGGCAGGGTCAGATCTGCTTTGTGCAGCAGAACGTGGGAAAAATCCATCCAGGCTCTAATGCTATCTGAACACGTTGTACACAGCATCTGAAGGGAGATGCTATTTACTCACTGTCTGTATCCCTCTTCTTTTTCTGCCTAAAGCAGCTACCCATTTGCTGTCAGGCCTTTCTTACCGGGAGCCAGAAGAAACCCTGAATCACCCTTCTCCTCATCCCCACCTACACCCACACACCCTCAAGTAGTTACCAAGTAACGTGCTGGGGCAAGGGTAAGCAGAACAAGGACACACAGGAGGCCAAGCCGTATCCTGTACTTGTGTTATATTAGTTCATTCCCAACAACACTTGAACGCACCACCAAACCTCACTAAGTTTGACAGAGGAATAGCAAAAACAGCTGACTAGGGAGAAGCAGGAGGTCCTGCTAGTACTTCTACTGACCCTCCTTCCAACTACACGTCAGAGAAGTATCCCCTTTTCCCCGATCTCCCCAAACACAGAGCCACACATGTGCACAGGTCAACCCTGAGATGCAAGTTCATAAGCACTGTTGTTCATTCTACCCAACGGAGGATTTTTCTTTTCTAGAAATCTGCGACAGAACTGTCGCTGAGAAAACAAAGATCAGGGAGTAAGTTGCCATACATCCCCTTCTCCGTGTCAGCTTCCTAACAACAAAGAAATTTATGACAGGAAAAAGCCCACACTCTCTCCAGTGACAGCAGTGCCAATTGTCTGTGTCTGGGCCCCGTCATGAGAGACATGTGCAGAGCATGGCTGAGCAAAAACGACTCCAGGTCACAGCTCTGGCCAGAAAAGACTGAGGCAATGCTGTCCTGTTGGGTGATGCAACCAAAGGCTACAGGGAGGACTGTATTTCTTACTGGGAGCAAATGCCTGTCACTTGGCGTTAGAACTTGCAGCTGGGGGCTGCTGGTAGGTGCTCATGTCGTGGTGGTGACTATGATGGGATTTTTCCATCTCTAAGCAGGAAGCAATGCTGACATTTGGTTTGACTGCCACTGTGAAGCCCTTGAGTTCTCTGCTTGAGTGCAGACAGCAAGGATGAACTCAGTGTAAGGCTGTATTTCAGCCTCACTGAAATAAGTCCTGAATACCTCCTGCCTAGTCCGTGCAGTTCTCTGACTTGCTACTGAGCTGAGCAGGGCTACCTGCAGGCCTGCAGCCTGCAACCCCATGGTGCTTCTGAAAGCCATGTGAGCCCTGGGGCTTGCTGGAGGTGCACAATGAAGTGCGTGCCTAAGGCACAGGCAGCAGCTGAAGAAGGCTGCGTGATGCTTCAATACCACACTATAACTCGAAGACGCACATTTACCTGCAATGCTGCTTTTGAGTCTTGTCACTCCATGTCAGAATGGCTCCAATGCATTTGGTGGGTTTAGATGTTTCCCTCTGGATTGGCAGAGGTCTGGATCTGGAATTACAGGAGAGGAATTGTTTAAGTAGAGAACATGCGGGTGAGGAACATGCGAAAGAGACTGGCTCATTTCAAGAAAGGATTAGGTACTAAAATAAAATGACTTAAATATACTCTTTCTAAACACATGTAAACATGGACGATTGCAAACTGAAATAGAAGCACTAATACAAAGTCTTTCTCTCATTCTTTGAACTATTACACCTAAAACTCACTTCTTCCACTGACAGAAAGAAGGAAAACCGAAAGCCTTGTGTCATATACTGCAATCCAGTGAATTTAAGGCCTTTTTTGGATACAGAGGAGAGCAGTCTGCTAACAGCCCAGTACCACCAGTTTCCACACTTTCAGAACAGTTAAACAGATGTTTTAACTTCACCAAAGCATGCACCAGTCTCCTCCAGAGCAGAGTGTTGCAGTGTCCTGCAGAGGCCACAGCACCAGCAAGAACTCATTCCACCTCCAGACACGTTTGTCAGCAGAGAAGGACTTGAAGGCACCAAGCCTTCCACCATCACCCCTCCTATCCATAAGTGATGGAGCTGGGTGCATTCCCTGCTAGAAGGCCTAGCCTCAGCCCTGAGGCAGCTCCAGCTCCAGCAAGAGCCCTGACCCACTGGCCTGGTGCTGGTGGCCAGGGCTGGCCTAGGGTCTGGGCCACCAGAACAGCCTGAAGGGACAGGGGCCAGGACCAGCTCCGATAGCTCAGGCAGGGGCCAGGAGTGTCCGAGGACCTGCTGAGGGATGCTGCTACAGCTGGAACCGCTTTGCCAGAACCTGCCATGCAACCTCCTGAAGTACAGCAAAGCCCATTACAGGCAAGGTGACAATGGGCATTAGCAGCGTTTTTATGGCTACATCAATTTTGTGCTGGCATGTAGATGGGTTGTTTACGAAAACCTGTACATGACTCATGCAAACCAAAGCCCATTTTGCTTTCTGCCACCCCCCGTCCTCCTTTGCTATTTGCTTTGTTTTCATTGCCAAAGCATGGAGATTTAAATGAATTTAAAAAAAAAAAAAAAAAAAAAAAAAGAGGTGACTGGGATGTGAAGACGAAAACTAATGTGATTACGGCTGAATTTGGGCACTGCCAGCGCGTTCCCGTGGTCAGCGGGTGCTAGCAGTAACAGCTGCTGCGCTTCCCATTAGAGGAGAAAGTAAAGAAAGACCTTCCCTGATGGGATGCATTGCCGGCAGGCTGGGGACACAGCAGCAGCAGGCGGCAGGGAGGTAAGTGTGGGGCCAGCGCTGACACGGGCCCAAACCCGCACCCACTCCCAAACGTGGGTGACTGCAGCCCTGGGGGTGACATTCCCACTGCTTGTGAGTGCGTGGGGAAGGGCACAGGAGGCAGCGTGGGCAGGACGGGAAGGGGGAAACTGTAGCCTGGGAACCTCGGGAGGAACCTCCCTGGGAACTTCTGCTGCTCAGAAGTACTTGTGTGTGCTGCCACGAGAAACCTCACCTGGCAAAGATTTGGATGTCTCTGCAGCTGGCTCCACCAGCACGAGGGCATCCCACCGCTAGAGCAGGGGCAGGGGGTCTGGCCAAGGCTCCTGTGAACCCCAGAGCATCTCTGGCATGCAGCTGATGGGAGCGCGAAGGTGCCCTGCTGCAGAAGGTTGAACTGCATCCTTCTGCTCCTGGCTTCAGGCTGGGCACGAGGTGTTTTGTGTGAGAGGTTTCAATCAGCCGGCAAGTTTGAAAGTGATGTAAACGGAGGTTTGCACTGGATCTCTGATTCTCTTTCATGTCTTTACATCTATTTATTGACTGAACATAACAAAATCTAAGCCAGGAAAAGCTGCACGTTGAAAAGATTAGGAAGAGCTACATTAAAAGCCGGACAGTAGGCAATAAATGAAATGTGCTCACTCTTCATCCTCATTTTCAAAAGGGTATTTTCAAAACTGGAATAAGAAAATACCCTGTCTAATCTGGAGATGTGCGTTTTGCCAGCCACCCAGCCGGGGTGATAACCAGCAGCACAGAGCGCCAAGCACAGAACTTGTGGAGTTCAGCAAGGGTAGAAGGAGTTGAGCTGAGTCATCAGCATGCCCACACAGGGCCTTATCCTCCTGCTAAATATGAATTTCTGGAGCAAGTCTCTGCCAGACATTCACCCCTTCGGATGACTTCACTAGAAACATGTCCTCTGGCAGCGTCTTTTCCTTCCCAACCTCAACAACGAACGTCCAAATGTGGAAACCTGTGGATTCCCAAAAAGGATCCACGTGCCATGGGGACCATTTATTCCTCTTCTTTTAGAGGCTGTGGGAAAGGTCGCTCAGCTGACTGGGAGTGACGGACACCGTTCTGGAGTGGGTGCACCGGCCACGTCCCCACGCATCATGGAGGAGAGGCAGAAGGCCTGCCTGGTGGTGGCTGCCTGTGTGAGCACCGTGCTCTGCCTGGTCTCGTCCACATCTGCCTTCTCGCACGGCGCCGGCCCCTCTGCCTGTGCTGACATGATGCCCAGGCACCTGCGGGCTCAGCTGCACAGCCCCACCAACAACTACGTTACCGTCCACACCAACGTGTCCTTCTACGTCCCGGGAGACAAAGTCCCAGGTGAGGACAGCTGCTGGCTCTGTCTCAGCCCAGTCCCACAGAAATCCCTAAAGCAGTTATTGGTCTTTGCTGGTGGCAGTTTCACAGGCAGTCTTTCAAATTATATCCGTTTGTGACTCGAAACCCAGTGTACTGAGCAGAGCAGCTTTCTGCTCCATGCTCCTGACTCGGAGGAGCAATTATTTAAGAAACATTCGTGAATCTGAAAAATCCACACTATCTAATCGTGAGTGATGACATTAATCTTAGAGAGGGATGGGAAGAGGGACACCATCCTCACGGCACAGCTCCAGGTGCGTTATGCCATATCTCATCACCAGAAAATGAATGTAGTCACAGAGAGATCCTGTCTGCAGTGCTTTGCCTCAAGCTTTCTCAGGTGGTGCCTGGCCCCAGATCTCCACCGTGCTACACATCAGAGACAGCTGGCAGGTTTGGGTGCTTTGGGTGGGATTTATCTCAGCTGCCTCTCACCTGTACAGAACCCCCATGCAGTGGCACGTGAGAGGCGCCTGCGGAGGACGAGCCACCCCCTCTGCTGTCACCCTGTGAGCGATGGGCTCTCCTCAGGGCACGAGGGCTGATTGCCTAGGCTGCAGACAGAGTTGAGAGGCACCATCCTCCAGCCCAGCCAATTTCCCTTTCCATCCCCACCCAAAATAACTCTCCTTCAAGGGCAGCATGCAATCATCTGTGTGTGTGCAGTGTGGTACCCAAATCTCTCCTTAAAGGTGGCTGCATACTGCCTAGTGCAACGTGGTTAGCATTACAATCTAGGAGGAAGAAGACTCAAACCAACTGCCTGGGCAATTTCATACTACAAAGCGATAGTCTGGCACCTCATATCCAGCACATCCAACACAGATTGTAAGGGCAAAGGTTGTAGGATGCTGTGGTTTTGGTTTTTTTTGTGACAAGGTTTTCTTTTAATTTCACAAGCGCCGATGGAAATTCCATCACAAAAAGTTCACCTGAGAACTGCAACACAAATCCCTTCGTGTCCCATGTTTTGTCTTGCAGTGACAGTGAGAAGCAGCCGGGATTTCATGGGCTTTTTGCTTCAAGCTCGCAAAGTGTCTAACGATGAAACTGCTGGCACATTTGTCTTCATTCCTCCTGGCTCCAAGCTGCTGTCTTGCTTTGAAGACGGTGATACTGTCACCCACTCGGACAAGTCCCTGAAGAGAAACCTGTCCTTTGTATGGAAAGCGCCGGACCAACCCATTGGAGACATCAGATTTTTGTAAGAACACGTCAGTCCCTGACAGTGTTGCTGTCCTCGCACTTTCAGTCTTTCTCATCTTTCAGCTTTCACAAATTTGGTTGCATTTTTTCATTGTACTTTCCTAGCATGGTGGTGTGATGTCTCTTGAATCCTATAGAGCTAAATGCTTATGAAATCCTGCAACAGCATCCCAGCTGGTATATAAATCTTCTTTTGTATCTGCTGGGTACTGCTTTTTTTTACTTACACTGTTTTCTCAGAATAAATGTACTGGGAGATGACAGCCTAAGCAGTTAGGAAACAGAAACATTAAGGCCTAAGGAGAGAACCGTGATCAGTCTGCCTGCTTTTCTAAATAACGCACCCTGTAGGGCTTCCCTGCCTACAGGACAATGTCACGTGTCATTGCTGTGTTGAATTTTTTTTTTTTTTAGCTTAATGTTTGTTTGCTTTTCATGTTAAAGGTAAAGAGAGTTATTCCCAGGAGGATTAGATGGGGAGCACTGGGTCAAAACCTTACATCACTGATTTGCACCAAAGTCCAAGTGTTTTGGTTCTGATCCGGAATTAAAAACAAATAAATACGTAAATCTAACTGGCTGCCTTAGAGGGAGCACAGGGATTTTTTCATTTTGGAATAGATTAAATGGTTTTGACTTTACAAAATTGCTTAGAAGCTCCTTGCCCAGATCCCTGGCTGCTCCCCTAAACTCAAGCCTCCTGCTGAGTGCTGTGGCTCGCACATCTCATCGTGATTCAACACAAAGTAATTGAAACAAAAATATTTCTGCTCAGCATTTCCATTTTGCCTGCTGTTACAGACTGGGAAACACTATTAAAAACATGTGAAAAGCAAACAGATAAAAATAGCCCAAATGCTGCCATGCCCGTTCCTAGCCGCCCACTCTGAACCCCCCTGCACCCTGCAGCTGCTGCCCTCCAAGCCAGCCCCACAGCCCTTCCCTTCTCTCCCCAAGGCCGTGCCGTGCCACCAGCCACGGGCCATGTCTCCAGAAGAAACTCCGACTGCTCCCTCCTCCCTGTCCTCTCCTCGTCTCCCACGTCTGCTGCTGCTTCTGCTCACGGATTCCCACCCCTCCTGCCCCCAAATTACTTATAAATCAGTAAGCCTTGCCATAAACTTTGGGCAGATTTAACGCAGAAAGCAAACAGTACGCATTGTAAAGGTGATCCCCAGCCGCGTTGTAAATCCACGTTTCATAACTTGTGTTACAACATCCGAGAAAGGTACTTGTTCCATTTAAAAGTGTCTCACAAGAACCATTCAGCACACGAAAGGCAAGGTCGTTCCCCCTTTATCTCATCTTTGCAGGCATCTGAATGATGTGAGCTGAAATCCTCCCCCAGGACGAAGCTTCCCCATGCTTGGGGACGTGCCTACAGGTTGGCACCTGATGAAAAGCAGAGTGTGAGGCAGGTGCAAATATTGAAGGGCTCAGAATAAACTGCCTGTGGCTTTTTCTACCTATTCTGCTGTTTGTACAAGTTACACTGACCTGCATTAATTAGTAAATACCTCTGTTGTCTCCCTGCCTACGGAAGATTATACGCAGAGCTATTCAAAGTTTTCCAAATGTACTTCTACCAACACGGTGAATATAATGGCTTTTTTTTCTTCTTTTCAGCTCCCACACATTTTTGACTGATTGTAATTATGAGTGATCCTTTACTCACTATCTTTCATGTGGGACCTGGTATCTTTTATTTGTAATATGAAAACGTGTGACGGGCTAATCCTTTAAAATATTTTCACCCTGCCTTTGGATTAAAGCACTCCTTCTGATTAGCTGAGCATTCTGATCTTTTATTAATAACTCTGAGAGAGTAAATTCCTGCATAATTATCTTTTAACAGCATCTCTGTAGTCCAGTCATACTTTGTTTACTGGGCAAGGATCGAATCGGCCACCGTGGCTCAGCGAGGGCACAACGACACATCTGCTGGAGGCAGCAGGAAGGCCGGCCCTGCAGCACCTGCACCCACGCAGGAACCTGCAGGCCCCCACGTAGCTGGCACAGCAAGCAAAGGTACGTGGTTTGTTGCTGACAGTTTCCAGCTGGGTGTTTTTACGGCTTATTCCTTGTAACCGTTCAAGACAGAAGAGATAAACAAGCTAAAGAGGCTCATTTAACTTTTTCAGCTGCTGGCAAGACCAGCGATGGCCATAAAGAACTCCCTGATGAGAAGGCACAGACGGGCATCCTAGGTAACAGTCAGACCAAGGAGGGTACCAACAGGATAAACACTGCTGCCGGATCCTACAATTTGAATGAAAACCCGAAAACGCCGCTGAAAATCCCCACATATATTCCACCTAAAATCCTAGGTCCTAAAGACAGGCAAATGCAGTTAGCAAAGCTGCCCACATACTCCGGTCATACTTTTGTCTCTAAATGTGACTGCTACCCTTCAGGCATGTAGTTGTTTGTATTTATGCTGCCTCTGGATTGTAAAAGGCTCAAAGAATTTACTTACGTTTCAGTCAGATCTGTTTCTCAGCCTTTATGGCATAGCATCAAGTCTGAGCTTTAATTATTTTACCCAAACGCCATCAGGCTTTGCTTCTTTACTCCCTGTCTGGGTTCCTACTTAAAACCAAGCGCCTTAAAAATAAAATCACTGCTGTGATCCTTACTGGTAAACGCTAGCACCAAGTGCCATTTGAAAGAAACAAAGCTAAGGAAGTCAACTTCCGCTCCTCTCTTGCTTTTTGCTGTCTCTGTCTTGCTAGGCTCTGGCTCTTCTACTGCCATCCCCAGCTCTCTCCAGTACACCAGCCCTGCTCTGGTCAGCCTGACCGGCATCCATCCAACACCAGCACAGGGTTCAAGCATTGCTGTCCACTCAGATACGCAGCCCACCACAGAGCCAACGCTGTTGTCCCAAACCTTGAGGGGTGCCTCCAGCAGGAGTGGAGGGAGCAGCCCCACGAGCAGCTCAAGGCTGGAGCCATCGCTTGCCTTCCAAGAGCCAGGCCTGGCTGATGATCTGCAAAGCTTCCTCTTCGAGGATTATGCCTCCAAGCAGAGCCTCTCTGGCAGGTACTGCACCACGTGATAGCCAGGTAGTGGGAACAGCTGCTTCTCCAGCAGTCCAGGGGAAGGAAATCAATGCTGGTTTTACTGCAGATAAATAAGGGTGTTTGTAAGGTGTGTGTGGCTGTGGGGGCAGGTGGGAGGATGCTTGCTTGCTGAATTTTTGAAAAATAATCCTTTAGTGACAGACGGTGGCAGTGAGACAGTCAGAGCGCAGGCCTTGCGCTGATCAGCCCAGCAGTGCTGCCCAGCCAGGTGATTGAAAAATGTGATAAAAGCTATTGACCAGAGTTGATTGCTGCAATATTTTTCTAGAAGCTTGTGCAAATATCCAAAGAAATGGCGAGCTTAACAGAGCTATTTCTCCACCTGCAGGGAAAAGGAAGAAAGGATTTAAAGCAATTATGAAACGTTGCCTTGAAGAGGTCTGCTCATGAAAGGCCACAGGATCTTTAATGCAATGTATTACACTGTGGGTGTAAATGATGAGGCTATGACCAAATGATCAGACGTTATGGAACGCATGGCCTACATGGTCTGTGCTGACTGTATGTACCACAAGGCTGCTCCAGCAAGTGGCACTCTTCACAAATCATGCACACTGTAGAGCTGAGGAGTTCTGTGTTCTGAAATGGCAGGTATCACATACTAATTCTGTCTCTTCTGTTTCAGAGCACAAAGTGGTGCCAGCACTACCAACCCACACCTGTGTGTGACATGTAAAGATGAGCAGGTAAGCACTGAGGATGGGGAGGATTCATTTTTGTTTTCTCCAAAAACACCAACTGCTAGAAGCTGGTGAAAATTCTTACAGAAGATGAGGATAAAACCTCTCTGCTGCTTCACAGCACCAAGAAGCAAGTGCATGTCTCATGAGTGACTAAAATTACTTTGAGGTCATTGAGCTGTTTGTTGTTGTTGTTTTTTTTAACCTTAACTGGGAATTGGTTTTTATCTCTCTCTTCTCTTTTCTTCTTTCCTGACGCCTGGGTTGCTAAGAGTTCCACTGCAAAAACAACCCAAAGTAATTTTTTCTGTATGCAGCCACGGCCACAGCTGCATGCTGCTGGATGTTACTGGGCTGGAAATATGCATTTTATTCCAGTGGAAGGCTGAGACGCTCCTTTCTAGATGTGCCTGACCGGTACTGCTCTTTACATTCACTTTGGTGAAACACTTTATCCATTCTGGTGCAGGCCAAGGACGCTGTGTGCTTTTGGAGGGCAGATCCACACCACTCTGTGGACACAATGATACCATATCCTCCTCAGCATCCTAGAAGACGGATGAAATAGGAAGCCTGTTTCTTTGCTTTTTTACAGAGCTGAGCTTTACTTCCTAATTTTACTTCTTGAAGTGGCATCCAAAATTAGTCCATTTCCCCATCAAGAGTTGGCATCTCTCTCTGCCCAAAGCTCCTTGAAGTCACCACCTCCTTGTGGTGTCACCGAAAGCCTGCTCTGTATATCAAACATAAACATATAGAGCTTCTATGGCACCTTTATATTTCTCTGAGCGCTGACATGCATACAAAGGAAACAAGGTCCCTCATGTGCTCACACAAGCACACATCAGGAAGAGAGGTGAAAACAAAAGAGGAAGGGCCCATTCAACAGATAACGAAACGTATTTAGAAAGGGCATAGAACAAATTAAGGAGAGACATGTAATGTGAGCATCTGGCATAGCAGTAGGGAGAAGAGAGGAAATGGCTGAAGATGGGAACTAATGGAAAGGAAGCCTGATCGTGCAAGGCAAGACCAGAGAGCGTAATGAAATAAAAATACTGAAAAATTAAGCAAGAAAGGACAGAAGCAGTAGAGAGAGGAGAAAAAAGGTGAGGCAGAGCAAGTTCTCTTTCTACAGCAATGCCCCAAATCCTGCAATGTATCCCTACATGTGATTACACGACGAGGTCCAGCAAGCCACACACACGCAATATTAACCTTGCCAGTCAGCTACAGTTTGCAGTTCAGTTACAGAATTTTTTTTAACCTACTACCTATCTTTCACTAGCATCTTTCTTTCTTTGGACATTGTCTCAACCTCTGCAAAGGATGCTCTGTGACTCCCCCTTACTTTTGTTCACAGCTTGCCAGGGTTCCTACCGCAGCTTTGTGGTCCTGTCACACTGTCTTTCCAGCAAGCTTTCAAACTCACTAGTGAAAGCAGAGGGTGAGATTTTCTCTGGTGTAATTAACTGATGTGTGAAAGAGCCTGCTGGGCTGGACAGGCTGGAGAGTAGCCAGCCACTAAGGGTCAGATCCAAATCTCAGCGAAGCCAAATAAAAGACTCCAGTACATTTCTCAGGGTTTGGATTGGGCCTCAGGTGCACAGTGGGAATAGAAAAATTCTGTGGGGGCCTCCTAAATTGTAGGATTGTTTCACAGTTAGTCTTGGATGGTATCTGCAGAAAAACCTGGACTGCAGACCTGGCTGTCATTTTGTGACTGATAAAATAAAGTGCTTGGCACTAAGGAGAGCCCCTAGAAAAGCACAGGAGCAAGCAAGAACAGTAATGTGAGCTATCATGTGTGGCTAAACAACGAGAGGTAGCAGATTTCAAACAGGCTGTGGAGACTGAGAAGACAAGACAGACTCTAGGGAGAAACTGTGGGTTTTATGTGACTGGTCCAAAAATGCTGATGCCAAAATGGCCTTCTGGGTCCTTCAGTTCCAAGTTTGACCCCCAGCCTTTGAAAGGCTATGCTGAATTTCAGTGGACCCAGTGTGAACTTAAAGACAAATCATGGCTGGGAAGATACATCCATCCATTCAGAACGACGCTGGCACCACTAAAGGCAGGAACTGTTCATTAAGTGGTTCTTCTGTTATAGCAATGACTGTGCAAAATACCACAGCAACAGTGAGAGTTGCAGACTTGTGCAAAGCAGTGAGTGACCCGCTGCTCCTTCCTCTCTGCTCCTTCACACGCTCCCCCTTGCCCCACAGCACCAACTGCCTCATCTCCCCCGACAACTGTGATACAGACAAAGCAGTGCTGAATCTAGCTCATATCCCAAATGCTACTGAGTAACCAGAGGATGAAATAGGGTTATTCTAAGGCTGAGGGACACTTTAATCAGAAATAGAGCTGAATGACAGAGTGAAGTCAGCAGCGGATGAGAGCGTAATCAACCTCCTTTCTATTCCCTCACTGGATTTCTTGTCACGTTTTTGCTTTCAAAGGCAAGTACTGAGAACGGGGCCGCCCTGGAAACTTCCCTGCCTGCAGCAGCCTCTTGGTCTGCCCTACACGTAGGCGCTCACCTGAGTGAAGCTGCCGTGACAACAGCCTGGTTTGGCAATGAGGACACCGTCAGCAATTTGTCATCGGCCTGGAGGCAAATGGCAGAAAGCAAACCATCCCAGCGGCCAGAGGAGGGCGAGGAGGAGGTCAGTGAGGAGGTGGGTGGGCACACGCTGCCGTGGGTGACCAGAGCAGGTCCCAAACCCGCTGTCCCAGGGAGGGGGGACGGCTCTCGCAGAGGGACACGTCTGATAGCGGCCCAACTTGGCATCCTCCTCGTCTGCACGGCGGTGCTGGGGCTGGCCGCGGCAGCTGGCCTGCGCTACGTCTGTGCCCGGTACTGCCACAAGAGGACAGAAGTGTCCTTCAGCGAGCCAGGCAACAACGTCATCGCTGTGAAGGAAAGCGGGGAGATGATGCACTTCCGCAAGATCCGCGAGAACAGCTTCGTGCTGGTTCAAGCTGAGTACAACTGGATCGGCCCGTCAAGCAGCGGGACGAGGAGACTAACGTAAACATGGGCAGTACTCACAATAGTGCCACGGGGGTGAGCCAGCCACCCCGTAGATGCAGATGGCTGAGATACACGTAACACAGCCTCTACAAAGCAGTAGTGTCCTTGCTGCATATAGGCAGACAGACAGGTGTACAAACTCGATGCAGCTGGCTCAGCTAGATGTGTTAGCCCAAGTATCCGAGCTAAGAGAACTAAAGTAACGACTGTTCTGCATGTTACACCTTCCACAATTGATATTGTACATCTGCTCATTAACTGTCACTGCAACCATTACTCTTCCTCTGTTGCTTTAAGGCTGTAGCAAAAACTCTGAAATTCTTCCTCTGCACTGTGCTGTTGTCTCCTCTTTTATCTCTGAAAAAACTTCTAGAGTTAAAATCCCCTTTCCTTTCTAGGAGCTAGAAACCCTTGGTTTAAACCCCCATTCTCATTTAGAAGCTTACAGGTTCAGGTCTGTGCACTCGCTATGCTTCAGATGACAAAATACTTGCCAGTAGATTCAAAGTTTCAATGGGAAAATAAAAAGCAGTAACTGACGAGGACAGAACATCGATCCACAGAATGCTGAATTGATCTAAGGGAAAGAAACACAAGGTGGTAGAAACCAGTTTTTGGGGAAGAAACATGCCTTCTCATCAGGTGCAAATGGAATAAAACCTTTCGTATCCATTTGCACCTGATGAAAAAGCTTGTTTAAGCCTGACAGCCAACATTTACTTTGTCTTTTACTTTGAGTCAGGCCAGTTGACACTCAGTGTGGAAACACACACTGAGAAACACCCTTCCCAGGTCACTTTGGAGGTCCCCGGCAAAGGCTGCCTGGTAAGTTAACAGCATCCTTGTGCTCTGACTTTGTGCAAACTCTCCTCCAACTGCATGGTTTTCAGCAGGAGGCCACAAAAACAGCCCTTGGAAAACATGAAGAACCTTGATGCTTTCTAAGAAGGGAAGGTGATGAAAGCAAGGGCAAAGGTTTGTTTTACTGAAACTTCGAAAGAGCAAGAAATAGTTCTGACGATGATCCTCCTGAGTTGTAAACTTAAGAGCCTTTCAGAAAGCAGTGATTCCCCTCTCTGCTATCCTTTCCTATGGCGAAGGGGCTCACGTTGTCTTCCGAGCAGCTGCGTGCAGAACAGACTTGAACTCTGGTGCTGCAACTTATTCCACAGGCCACAATGCTCCCATCCCGCCAAGCTAAGCGCACACCTGCACGTGGAACGGGATCCCACTTCCTTCCTGGTGATGGGGACACCAGGCAACTCCCTGCTCTGGCAGCAGGGCTCTGCAGTTATCCCCAGCCAGCTGGCCATCTCCATGCTTCATAATCAGAGAAAGCCCCGCTCTCACCTCCTCCCTTACATTGCCATGACTTCAGTGGATACACGAGATGCTATTCTCCTGTTCAGCTTCCTGCAGTGTGAGTAGCATAGCATGCCCTTTGCTAAAAGAGTCTTCCACACTCAGAGTTTATTTCTGGCCACACTACTGTACAGAGACTGGTGACATGAAACCTTGCAGTTCACACAGCCAATTTTCTGTCAAGTAATAATAAAATAAACAAGTAAAAAAAATAAGTGTACTCACAAATGCAGACTGCAGAAATGAGGCAGTTTTAACCACTGCATTTGCTGAGAAAAGCAGCTGCACCAGGGCCCTTCCACTGCAGGGTGGCCAGGGTTTGGGGTGCTGTAATTGAAAATTTGCTTCAGGACTCAAGAGACTTCAAGTTTTCCTAGTCAGTAAGTTGAGCTAAAACATCACCTACTAGGAAGTCTGTAGGTTTTAAGCACAGGTCCAGATGCACGCAATGGAGTTCCCCTTTTATGTCCCTTATAGAAAGAAAGAATGCTTCCCTAACACAGTGTAGCTGAACCTTCTAGTGACTCAAGTAGACCGCATTTAATTCATTGTTAATGCAGCCCCAAAATTCCTAATTAACTGAGAAAATAGGTCAACAAACTCTGAAATATTTAAAGAACTATCACATATTATTTCAGAAAACTTCTCGTGATGGCATAATTGTTTATGAATAAATTACAAATACCTATGTCCTTTTCCACCCTCTCTCCAGCTTTAATTTTATCAGACTGGCACAGCTTGAAAAATGCCCCTCTCCTCTCCCCAGCACTTTCCCCATTGCCCAGTACTGTTCTTGCCAGGCTGGCTGCAGAAAACAAAGGCTCTGGTGTGAAAGAAGACGTCTGATCAGGAGAGGAGCACTTCAGTGGTACTCTTGCCTTCTGCCAAACTCTACCTTCTGTTAGATTCATGCAGCTCTGGTATTATTAGTAGTAAAAACAGTAATGGTGAGCTCCAAGGGACTCTCTCCTCTGAATTAGTAATGAGTGCTGCTACTTTGTGGACTTGGCTGAGACCGAAAGTGCTTGTGTTTCTCTCTTGCCTTCTGCATGATGCTTCGTTTATTGTCATTGCCATGACAAGAAGGATCGGGGTTTTCTCTCTTCTTAATGCTGTTAAAAACCCAAGCACTGATTAGTTCATTAAGAGGCAAATCATTCAAGTGCTCCACGTTCTTAAGTGACCTGCCTTTTATTGAAATTAATCTGTGCTCGCGTTTGTAGCAGATTTAGAAGAAAAAATGACAGAGCACAAAAAGAAAAGACACAAACCATTCCAAGAGGAATTAAAGTGAGAAGGGCAAGAATTTCCCTTGCAGGGTGGATGACTGTGCTGGTCACAAACGTAGACAGTGGGGGATCTTAGTTCCTCCATGCAGGTCGGCCTGGAGCAGTCTGCACCCACGTGAGGCTGCCATCCCTCAGCCAAGTGCTTGGTGCCTGAACTGCTGGCAGAAGGTACCATAAGGAGCTCCCACCTATCCCTAATTCACACCCATCTATGTCTGCCTCCCACCAATCAAACAGGCGTCAGGTACAGCTTTGGCAGTGCAAACTCTACTGGCTGCAATTTTTGACGCTATGATGCTTGAGGTTCCTAACTTAAAAAAAAAAAAAAAAAAAAAAACAGCCATAATTTAGAAACAACTAACTACTGCACAGAAATGCTCATTTATCACTCCTTTACCTGCATGCTCATTTTACATCTCACGTCACTGTGATTGCTACTTTCCCCCTCTCCATATAAAGAAAAACCCAGTGCCCTCACATCATCAATCCTGGGTGCCGAACGTCTACTTCCATCACCGATTCTATCTGCTTTTCCACGGTATCAACAACAGCTTGGTTTTGCCTTTCATAAGTGTGTCCCCTCTGACTGGGAGCTGATGCTTCCTCATACTATGCTGCAGATGCCTTATTAAAAGATTCCTAACCCAACTCCGGTTAACAGAGGATGGCAGCCCTCTGCTCTATCAGTGGCATTAAATGTAAGGCAGAGGGGTTGCATTAAGCAAAGCATTTGGCCCAAAGCTCGGTTAAATCATCGTGGACATTTCCCATATTGGTTGAATTGTCACTATCAAGCAAATGTCAAACACGCACTGATTTTGCCTGCTTCAAAATGGGTGACAAGACTCACAGGAGAAGTCCAAAGCTGGAAGCTGAGGTCACGAGGAACATTTCCATCCGTTTCTGAAGGGCAGGATCACATCCCTGCCCCACGCATGTAACCTAACGCCAGCTGGAGCGGTTGCCCAGGATGTGCAGAATGGGGCCAACCCCGGCCAGCTTTGTTCTCAGCACTCCTCTCAGAGCAGAGCTGGATGAGATCCTGGGCAGCACGGGGATCTGTCACGACGACTTGGCCAGATCTTTGGCATAGTTTCTGCAGCTACTGGAGACGACACAAACCAAGGGAGGCAAAGCAGCTGCGCCAGACTGAAACGCTCACTAAGGCCCTGCAACAAACTGAGCATTGGAGAGGCCGTGTGGGCCGCCCTGCTGAGGAGTGAGGTTCGGTCCTCTCCCTCACCCCTGCTGACCCACCTGTGCCTCAGCCAGCTCCTTACTGTGCCAATGTATGCATTGTTTCGTAAACTAGCCATGAAAAATACCTGTGAAGAGGAGATGCTAAAACGATTCCTGCAGTGTTCAGCTGCAGAAAGACAACTGTTTGCCAGCCAAAACCAACAGCAAAGTAATGACCTGACCCGCTCAGCAGGCGAACAGCAGAGCAGCCCTTTCATTCCTCCTGATAAGCCAGAGCCTCTCCACTGCCTCTGCCACAGTCTCAAGGCTGAGAATGAAAGCCAGCAGGTCTGGGCAGCTCTGCAGTGCCTCCTTCCTACTTTTTCCCTCCCCTTTCCTTGCAGTTTCCCCCAAGGCACCACACTGTGTACAGCAGGGAAACGAAGCACCTTCCCATCAGCTATCCAGCAGGATTTGGGGGTCGCAACCACCCAGGGACCGTGCACTTATCTGTAGCCTCTCCTTAGCCTCCCTCTCACCACAGATCCATTTTCCCCCCTTCACATCTCATTGCAGAAGCACTCTTCTCTCATTAGCATGTCTCTCATTAGCGTGACTCTCCCAGTAAGGCATTTTGTTATATGATGTATGAAGGATCATGTCTCACACCACATTTTACTGTATATTTAAGTGCATGTTTTGCTGATTTACTGCTGTTCTAGGGAACGTCTCCTTCTCTTAGCAGGGCAGGTCCTCAACGGATGTACCAGCTCTGACTAATGATTATTAGCACATCCCAAGGTTATGTACTACAATCAAATAATGTGCAGGAGGGAAAAGAGACTCCAGCTTACTGGGCTAAGGACAAAGATCACAGCTAGTCTCTGAATCTTCAGATTGCAATATCCATTACAGATTGCCACCTTCTAATGTCAAAGAATAATTTGCTGTTCAGAAAATGTGTTGCTATTTCAAAGGCAAGTCAAAGATCAGACTTGCTGTATATCAGTGTGCTGATGTACATTAGGAAGTGATGTCCAGGTACCAAGGACATTATGCTGTTGGTATAGAGGGAAAGACAGAAGACGCGACTCGCTGATCTACATTATGCAAACACATGGCCCAAAGTGGAGAAGTATTTAACCCAGTCAAGTAAAATGTCACCAGTAAT